TATATTTTAAAAATATTTTAAATTTTAAATATTAAACTTTTAAACAATTTTGTACCTTATTTATGATTAAACAACATACAAAAACTATTATATTAAAATATATATATTGATTAGAGTTCCAATCCAGATAACTCTATCACCCATTTATCCATATCTGATTTGTTCAGATATCCATTTACTATTGCTATCCGAATAATCTAACAGATATTCGGATATCTGATAATTATTCAGATAAACGCCAACAAGATTGAAACTCTAATATTAATTACTATACAGATATTTTTTTACATCAAAACTACTCATAATGAACTCAACCATCAGGTACAATAAGGTTTTAAGTCTTACTTAAAAACGAACTTCTGTCCCAAATTCAAATTTCCATTCATCGATTTCAGGTCTTCAATTCTCATTCACAGGAAAAGACATGAACCTATAAAAAAAAATAAAAAATCAATAACAATAAAAAAATGAAAGCTGGTATTTATAGTCGTGCTAACCCAGTTTACAAACCCGAATCTCTATTACCAGCGCCAAATTCTCATTCTCAGATAAAAGCATAAGAGAAAAAGAAACTATTAGTAAAAGGAAAAAAATCACCACAACAATTAAAAAAAAAAGGCTGGTACTTATAGTTATGCCAGCAAGTTCACTATCATTATTGATGCCAATGTCTCACTCGAAGAAAATGAAAAAGTTGATAAAATGATAATCACTGATCGTCAAAGCCTTAATTGAAAGAATTTGTTGGTCATTTTTAAATACGTAGTGAGTGCTAATGCTAAATTATGGTTCGTAGATTTTAATGTTTTTTGCAGGGCCCCAGAATTTTGAGTCGGATTCATTGGAACTGAGTGACGCTATATATAAGTCAGACATTGACTTCATCAATAGGCTTTTAGGCTCAATCACTGAAATTCAAACCAATATTCAGATTGCAAGTACTATTGACTTCTTTTATAAAGAGTCATTTTCTTATACCAGGAATGGATTGCAATGAAGAATATAGTTTCTCGTGACTGAAATGGTGTCTGCATAGATTTCTCCCGTTCCTGGTTTTGCACAACTGCATTGCGCAGCTACTTATGATGTTTTATAAGTTCAACAACCAATCAAATGGATCTTCCACATGGATCTTCCACATGCTACGCTACTATTTTTATTTTTCATGTTGACAACTGGGCAAATTTGGACATATAAAATTTTATGTCCATGTCCAAATGTTCAAATGAATTTTGATTGGACATAATCTAAATGCAGTATACTTTATATTACTCTATTCATCATTACATTTATCAATTGATTGAATAATTGTGACTGTGCCACCAATCAATTAATTGAGTTTTTAATTGCCCCCAGAATTAATTATTTGGTAGGCCTGATATATGTTATATTATATTATAATAAAATTCATTTAATATATATCTATTATTCATTTCATCATGGTTAGTATCACATGTGTCTGTGCAAGCATGCAAAAAATGAATTTGGGAAGTATGATTAATATAGTTGATTGGAAAAATAAACCGTGTTCCTTCGGATTTTTGAACATAAAATGGGCATTCCAATATTGAATCAAACTGGTTTGCTTTCTGAAACTTTTCAAATTGAATAAAAGCGTAACTCTGCTCGTTGTTTGCTTCATGCTTAAATATTAGTTTAATTTTAGCATAGGTAATGCCTTCCGAGTTTTCTGATAACTCTACGATATCACCAACATGAAACTTCAATTTAGTGGATTCTTTCTCATTATCAAGAAAAGTGTACGTAATATGATTATAAAATTCAAGCTTTTTATTCAATAATGCACATCCAAATCCAAGATATTCTGCGTATGACTTGAAGAGGTCACGAAAAAGTGAATGTTTTTCATTTAACGCTGCATTTAAATTCATGCACTCTAATTTCTTCTTGGTCCATCGATTTTTAAGTTTAATGTCAACAAAGTTCTTATTGTGGCAAGTAACACACACAGTATCTAAAAATGTTTCATATTTATAAAAATAATACAAACCTTATTAAAAAAATTTTAATTTACTAGTTAATAGAATCACGGTATGTCCTCAGGTAAGTGCTATATTAGGGGTTTTTTTTAAAAAAAATTTACTAGTTACCATCTTTTTCATTTTTTTTCTCTTGTTGAATCATTGAGATTAGTGATTTATTGCTAGTAGCATGCCAGTTTGAGAAAATCGTATGAAGATATGGATCCGTAACGAGTTTAGAAAATGTATTGTTACTAAAACTAAACTGGGGATTTTGCCAGCCATCAAAGATATGCCTCAATGCTTGTATCGTATTGTAACGTCATGTGAGATCGAGTTCAATCATTTTACAGTTTGTGTGTGGAACCATTCCCTTAAAAATCCGATGTACCATTTCTTTTACACCTACGGCAACATTTGTTAATGTTGCGAAGTTCTGAGCATGTTGTAAAAGATGTATGTTTACATGAAGATTAGGTAGGTTTGTAAAGCATTCTGGAAATAACTATTTTAAAATAATAATTAGTATATTAAACATTAAATAAAAGGACGAGGCGGTTCGAAATTAAAATTTTATTTAATATTATATATTTATTTATTCATATAGAATGTTAGTATCATAGTGAAAAACAGTACTCGGCATACTTAGTGAGAGAAATGGAATGAGAATCTATAACATTGAGTAGTTCATCGCATTAGTAATGAAAAGAAAAAAAATATGTATGATTCGATACTTAGCTTATGAGAAAAGAATGAATCGATTGATTTTTGTGCATGTGACGCACATGACGAATGATCGAAACAATAACCGTCAGGGAAATTCAGGAATTATGCAACAGCGGTATCATGAGATAGCATACCGAAGGTAATAAATGATGCAATATATAATAATATAAGAGTCAAAGATATTATGATAAATTTAAGAAGTATAATATTAGGGATTCAAAATATGATTATATAAGCAGGGAAGATTAATTAAATTTAATTGCTTTTCTCTAAGAAGGAACGATTAAATAATTGGAAAATTACTTACCCTCATTTATAAACTTGGTATCGTTTCAATTGAAAGTCATTTGTGCCTAATTTGAATTATATTTTTAATGCGAAGTCACTAATTAACCCACGACACCAACAATTATTTTACCTATTTTGTATCAACTATAGAATTGATTATTAGGCCACACAAATTTAATATCTAGGTTTTCATAATATGAAACTTTTGATCAGACCCGGCCGGCTTTTTTTTTTTAATTTTTCATATATAAATTTTATAAAATTTTTGAAAAAATTTTTTTAAAAACCCACCCGGTTATTAAAATATATAAAAAAATTTTTTTATAAGCTTTTAAATTTTGACCCGGCCGGGTTATGAAAACCAATTAATTAATTTTGTATAGCCTTATATACTATAACTTATATATTATTTAATAGTAATCAATTTTATAAATTAATTAAAACATTAATTTCAAACCACCTAATAAGTAAACTTATAAAGACTGACCTGAACAAGTAAGTCATGTTCTTTGTTTAATGATTCTTGCAATTCTTGGCAAATAATACTAGTCATCGGCGTTGTAAAAGCAAGCTTCAGTGCTTTGGCTTCAGTGGCCCAGAGAGAACATAATTTCGTAACAACTTGTCTTTTACTGAAATTTTCTTGCCATCTTTTTGAAGTTTCAACCTTTATATGTTGAAATTTCAAAAAACGTCGAAGTATAAACGGCATTAAAATAGAAAGTTTTAATGTGTCCGAAAACATGAAACTGTGCCGATGCCTTAACGGGTTAGGCATTCTGCTCCAGTAAGAGGTTTTTCGATGGCTTTCCAGCTTTTTAGGAAGGAATCCTCACCGATAGTATTAAGTATATTAAACGTAGCATCCAGTAATGTCCGAGCTTTGCCTCCCATCGAATGATAGATGTCCTGTGGGATTTGTATATGCTGATCCCACATAAGACTATTAAAAGGTCCAGGAGATATTGTCAAACCATATTCAGTAGCCAACCATTCTTTATTTACTTTTTCTTGCTGATGTGCAATATCGAGTAATCGTTCTTTAGTTTGGTGCCGGAAACGGGCATTCTCTATATGGTTGTAATTTGGACAAGTGAGCTGATCACTTGGAACGTTACACGTTCTACAACCATGTTTGGCCCCATGCCTTTTAACACCCGCAAGGTTATTACCCTAGGGTAAGTCCGCAGTAATACAACCGAGCCTACCTACAATCCAAGCTCTCCTGTATATTGTATTCATAACTATGCCATTCTCTAATTGTTTTATATCTTTGATAACAGGCTTGATAAAATCATCAAACTTGGCTCCGAATGGAATTAAACCAACTAAAAAATGGTTTTTAAGTAATTTCCGAAAAGAGAATGGCATATTGCCAAATTGCAAATATACACCACCTAAAGAATGGTATACATTCCTAAATGTTCCGAAATCATCCACATAAATGTCGAGGAAGATCTTTATTGTCAGCATGGGTTGTGGTGGTGGATTGTACATAACATACTCACAAGGTAACTGATACCTTTTCATAATGTCACGATATTTCCAGTGACCATCAAAATAGTAGACAATTTCCTTAACGTAAAATTCGTAATTTTCGGGTGTTGGCAGATCACAGAGCCACACAACAACATGTCGATTAATATTTACTGGGTCGATAAATATAGGGTCGCCCTCAACCAGCCATAGCTCTTTATCATCCCCCTGAGTGTGGCGAATACTATTGGAATGGTAATTAGGAAGGTTTTTATTTTGCAGAAGCCGGTCAACTTTTACTTTATGTGTCCTATCTACTTCGTTAATTACTATACCACGTATGCGGCATATAAATTCTGAAGATAGTTCTTCACACAAAAGAAAATCTCCAGAATGATAAGTTTCTAATTAGATATAATTATCAACAAAATAAAAAATTTTTATTTTATTAAAATGGTTATCTCAGTGGAAGCCTTAGAGTCAATATATAAATAACTTAGATAAAAAAACACCCTTTGATCTATCGCTATTGACCTGCTAAAAAAAACATTTATAGTAATATCTGTCAAAAGCTAACTATTTAACATGGAAACAGCAATGTATAAATAACAAGTAATAAAAGAAAAAAATGCTTGTCGCAGCTGATGCTGAAATTTGGGGTCTTGATTTGAAATTATAAGTCCTGCTAAAATCCACATATACCCTTTAAATATCAAATCTAGTTCTAAATCCTAACCTAACCTTAAAAAAAATCAAACAAAAACAAAAACACTTTAAAAAATTTTTAAAATTTCATATTAAAATAGGTCCAAATTTCAGCATCAGCCACGACAATACTTAATAGCAGTGATCAACTACTTGATTAAATTTTTTTAATAAAAAACTTTTGGATAATATTAAATACTAACCTCCGTTGTTGCATTTTATTTCATGTTCTCCAAAATGCGGAGATTCTTGCCAGAGATCTCCGTGCCAAAATTCACTCTTTTCTTTTTTAGCCACACCAGGTCCAAAATACATTTTGGACACAAGTGTCGGGTTATTTAGCACACATTCTAAATGTGCCAAGGGAGATATGACAAATGCTTTTTTAGTAGACGAAAATGTAGATGGTACTTTTTGTTCGCAAATAGATACATCGTGCTGCATCACTTTAAGAATAGGCAGTTTGTGTCTCCATTTGCGGAAGCGTTGAATATTTGTTAATACATCTTCATTGTGAAAATTGGGATGTTTAAGGATTTTAAAAAGATCCTCATACGCACTAGTCGCTAAAATAATGACATGTTAAAGTTTGCTCACTTTACACATTGTAATACAAAAACAGATTCCAGAATGCTAAATTCAAAAAAGAAACTTTAATAATTGCTACAGTCGTCTCTGATCAAAATATGTCTGTATTATTAAAATTTCCTTTTTAAATTGGGCACACATTTGTTATACAATGTTACTGTTACTTACCAATCATATGTTTTGTAATCCATACAAATAGCACCGCTGTTGTAAAATTTGGAAAGTACGGTCCGTACTCTCCGTCATAACCTTCAAATTCTGAAGATTCTTCCTCTAAAATTTCGGTATTTATTGGATCTTCGTCTGTATCATCAATCAATGGCCTAGGAGTAAAATCTTGAAATAGCTCCTATATGAAAAGAAACTTATATATATATATTAATGTTCTATATCTAATACTTTTAATATGCTTATTAACAATAAACCTCATCTGTTAATGTTTCTATTTTAGCTTCTTCATCGATTACTTCATCAGCTTCTTCATGAACTTCTGGTTTTTTAACTATTTCTCCGTTTATTTTATCAGCTTCACTATCGAATTTATCAGCTTCAGCGTCAGTTAAAATTGAATTGTGTTCCTGAGAAGAGAAAGTATTCTCTGGAACACCCGTGTCAACAGAATTCATTATATCAGGCAATTCTTTTTTATATCGTTTTCTAATGCGTAACTTCGGTATGTTTGCATAGAAACGAGCTGTTCTTTTTGATCGCTTCATAGTATAAAGTTTGATATTTTTCTGATGTTTTGTTAAAATTTATTTTGATAATTTTATAATTAAGAATGGTTTATATTTACTTGATTATAATGCATAATTGAAAGGTTAATGATGCACATCGAAAGGTTAATAATGCGTAATCAAAAGTGATGTGCAAATAGTTAGCTACTGTATGCATAATAAAGTGACATGTAATGACATATAATTTAACATAAATTATCCGGATATATATATATTAACAAAACACTAAGATATTGATTCTTTTTTCATTATTTTAATAATTTTACAATTAAGAATAA